ATCTCTCTCTTTGGGAATTCTTGATGTCAAATTGCTGAAACATGTGTTTTTTTTTTAATGATTAATTTGTGCTCGATTTGGTTTTCTTTTTCGTTTTTGGTTTGTCCTAATTTATTATTAGCTAAAGTTGATTTACAATGGGGCCAAATAATTGATAAAAGGTTCACAATAATTATTTTCAAATTGCTGCCGCCTTTAATAACAGGTGTAAATAATTCAATTAGTGAAGCTACTACATGTGTCTCTTCAGGTGATAAGGATGTTGACGTTGTGCCCGAGCACGTAAGCGAATGGTTCAACTTAATGAAGGCTATTTTATACATACATACATTTGTATATATGTATATAAATATGTATTTTAAATTTATATATATTTTATATTTTTTATAATTTTTATAGATTTTATATATATACTTTTTTTATTTACTTAACTGTTATTGGTATTTCTTTAAAATTAAAATTTTGTTTTTTAACAAATTAAAATTTGTTTATTGTATTTTCTTTATTTTTGTGCACATATTTATAAATTAAATTAAATTAAAAAATTAACTATATGAGTATTTATTTATTTCAATAATTATAAAAATTTTTAGGTCATTTTATTATTTAATTTTATTTTTTATTTTTTTTTAATATTTATACTTTTATTTAATTAAAATTAAAATTTAATAGTTCATTTACGTACTTATTTACTTGTTTAAGTCTCAAAAATAATTAAAATGTTTTAATGTATACCTAATTTAAATATTTATTTGTCTGTGAATTTTGGTATATTTAAAAAAATAATTTGATATAAATAAAAAAAATTTGTTGGTATATTTTATATGAATTTACATTTCTGTTATTTTTTTATTTTAGGATTTTTTAAATAATTGTAATAAATTGATAAGGCATGAATTTCATTTTAAATAATTTTGGTGTTATTGCTTGCAAATAAAATTTTATATTATCATAACTCTTTCGCGACAGTTTTAATTTAAAATTTTAAATACTATTTACGAATAAAATATATACCCTATTAAAGTATGCTACTCAGTTGAGGAAGCAATACACATAGCTAATATACCTTGTTCCTAACCATCTATTAACCCTTGAAATGAACTCACTATATATATTATATTGAACAATTGAGTCATTAAATTATTGCTTTATACACGAAATCAGTTCGTAAATATCTCGATTTATGGCGCTGCTCAAAACTAAACAGAAAATAATATCAGTGAAAAGAAATCACATTCCAGAAATGGGAAATTTTCTATGTGATATGTAAGTCTCGAGGTAAAAATTCTATATATTTATTTATACTTAAGTATAGATATAGATATGTATTTATATTATATATACATATAATGTGAATCACAATTTGCTGTTCGAGTTAATGCGAAATGTCGCTGCACTTTGGGGGCTTCCGAACCTGAACTCGGCTCACATACTTACAAAAAGAGAGACAGCAAGCATAAATATACACATGTAAATATATATAATAGCAGATAAATATAATTTAGTATTTTTGATATACGTGGATAGCTCTGAACTTTCTTTTGCAACATATTCATAGATCACTTGAGACACTTGTTCCCATACACCGTTGATCGGTTCCAATAAAAAGCACTGATTTCGAATGGTGCTAGAATTGAAATGAAATGACTTTTTGGGCGTTATCTATGCACCAATCGATCTCAGTTCTTCAATTTGAACTGGTGTGGTGTTTGATGACTGATGGGTGTGTGGCATAGTAGATAATATTATCTAGGCACTACTTCATTTTAGATGTATATTTCATTCTTTTTTTTTTTGCTTTTCTCTTTGGAGCGAACGCGATCACGACTGATAACGAGACGAGCGAACGTGTCACAGAGGACTGTTTGGGCGACAGGCGCTGCGTCGCGCTTAAATCTGAGAAACCTGTTACACCTGAGAAGATTTTTACAATAGACCCGAGCGTACGCCTGTCCCTTGCGCTCTGACTGTGCGTCGATCAACTCGTATTTCCCTTGCTGGACCCGGTGTCCTCCTTCTCGCTATGCATAAGCATAGCTGTCTATACATACATATGTGTGTACATATGTGTGTTGCGCATACCCTACATAGGGCACAACAAACACTTACCATGTAATGTATACCCATAAACCGAACTTTTGCCAGCCATGGATCAAATCCATCATGCGTCTAGCCCCGAAAGCTATTTACATTTGTTGCTCTTCTTCAACTGCAGCTTCTACTCTTTCTGGAGGGCTTAGTTGCGTCTTCTTTGCATTGGTGTAATTTAATTCAAGCGTACCTCAGCGTATGTTTCTCTAAAAGAAATAATTAGAATTGTCTCGGTCTCAGTTTCAAATGCGGATCCCATCTAACTCGACCCAAAGCAGGAAGCCACTCACCGCAGTCACCGCTGTGCATCAAGGTGCATAATTATTTATAGCTAACAGTACATGTCATACCTTATATATGTACATATGTGTATATACATACATATGTGCGATTTCTTTTCTCTATATACTGTTGACATCTGCTTTTGTCCATGTATTTGCTTTGTGTCTTAATTGTGCAAATATCGCTTACCTATCAAACTGTTATTCAATGGCAGCAGCAATTCTGTGTCAAGCAGACGTATTAATACCCTTTAGGAATGGAATGCTTGAGAAGAGAGCATACAAATTGGAAGTTTATGTGATATTTTATTAGAATTACATTCATATTCATGGTGATATCCGAGATTTTAAGGAATTAAAGTGAATATAAGTTTGTAGATAGAGCAACCTCATTTCATATTATATATTATTTATAAAAAAAACGTATATTTATATAGGAACTAGCTATTGACTACCTTTTGAAAACAAGTGTAACAGTAACTGCCATAAATCAATATATATGTACGTATTTTCTAAACAGATCTCTCTTTCTTTCTCACTGTACTTAGGCATTCCTGTCCTAGAATATTTATTTATTTGTATGCTCTAAGCCAATTGAAAAAGGGAATTTATTATTATATGAATATTAACAATAATTATAATATAATAGTAATAGGAATAATGCAAAATTAAAAAAAGTATATATGTATATATATAAATATAACAAATATATACATAATATATATGTATATATTATCATTTTCTTAGTATCTGTAATCTGTTTGTCTATATACTACATATATGATGCCCAAACTTATATGGGAAGAATGCCTTAAACGAGAAATAATAAAATTACTGTCTTCCTCAACAGACTAACCGTATTCGTTGATAATCCGAGAGATTCTTCTGTACCCAAATTTATTTATTTACTGATTTATTTTTAATATTTAACTATAATTAAAATTATAAGCTAACTTAACAACTAAAGCGCTGGCTACTAAGGCCTTCGGCTTAATTTTATTTTTTTTCTCTGATTACATTGTTATGCCCTGAATCCATTGACAATGGGAAATAAAAGCATAATGGTTTTGTTTTGGTCTTAGTTTAGAGCAGTATAGCTACAAGAATCTATGATGAATTTCAAATCAGAAATGTCGTGAGTCTTTCACATACACTTGCCTTTATACCACACAAAAACTGAAACTTCTGTATGAAGAATGCGCTGCGGAAATGTTGAAAGTGTTGCAGAAGCCCTAAGGAAATCAATATTTGATTGCTACAATATTTATCAGGCAACTAAACTTTCACATTTGCATCCACTGATGAACTGATGAACAGCAGAGCAATCAGAGCAAGCAATTACGCCTTGCAAGCCAATTAACAATAAGAGTTTGCTGAAATGAATTTGGCATACCGAAGGTAAACAAAAATAGCATTTCGAAGGATTTAACAATGTTTTTTTTTTTTTTTTTTGCTAGTTGATAATGAGACACGCGCACTGCATTGCTGCTAGTTGAGTTGTTCGTCAACGTAGCGATAAATATTGTGAAAGGTACTAAGTTAAGGAAATAGACACCCTTACAGTTAATTAAAAAAGTATGCTATAAAATTAATATATTTAATAACTCATATAAATAATTCCCAAAAAGTTTATTTCTTTTGCATACTTTTGGTCAATTGAAAAGGTTTGCTGAAAATAATTTATTTATATTTCTATTAGGTTTTTTTTTTATTTTTATTTTTTATTTTTTATTTATTATTAATAAAACATATTTTATATTTGATTACACAAGAGCCATTATACCTTTTTTAATGAACATAAATTTTATTTTAAATAATACATTTTTTTTTTTAATTTAAATTTATTTTCTTATTATTTTTAATTTATACATATTTATGAATTTATTTATATAATTTATTATTATTTTTCTGTGGAAAAAAATAAAATAAAAATAATAAATTTATTATGCCAACATACTTAAGCCGTCGACTGTATATATATTATATAAATATATCATAATATATAATCACATAATCAGTTTAGTTAGTCAACGATTCGTTTGTAATCAGAAGAGCCGACCAGCTTTCAATACTTGTGCTTGTAATAATGTTCTAATTGTAGTGCACATAATAAAAAGGCGTAAGACCAGTTAAATACGCCCATGTCTTTACTTGCCTAGAGATTGCAATCGGTGCCTTTGAACAATGGAGTTAATGGTCAAAAGAATGTTAAACAATTGCCAAATGAATGAACCCGTTAAGTGTGTGCCTCATATCAATGAGGCGAGACAGTGGGATAGACAGAGATAGCTAGAGAGTGAGAAAGCTGCCTTATCGCTGGAGGAAGAATAGAAATTAACGCGCTCAACAAGTTGTGAGTGTCGGCATTTCGCGAATATTGAGCATGGCTCCAAGTTGAAGAAGTTTTACTATTTTTCAACAGTGATAGTTGTTTGTTGATAAGAGACTTTGGGATCCCGCAACAAGTGCGTAATTACACACGCGATGCATGCAGCGGGCCCAAGCGCCTCTGATAACAGGGCGAAGAGAACTAATCAAGAGGTAAATACGTTTATTGGTATTATCAAGACGATTGACTACTGATTTGATATACTATATGGGCAATACAAATACAATTTGTTGCCCAAATTTTTGCTCTCCACTTCCATAAATGCCACTGAGCCAGCTCGACTGGCAATTAGTTGCGTTCGAAGTTCAGGCGAGGAGAAATGTGCAAATTCAAGAAAGAAATTGGTAAATAACAAATGGATTCAAATACATTCATTCAAATACATTTATTCCGTGATTTACCCTCACTCAGTCTCAATCGGCTTGCTCTTGCTGATTGGGGTCCATAGCACGCTGGCGCAGTGGGCGAATATTTGCTCCGATGCGGAGGATGGAACGCGTCTGGCTCTGCCCTTGGATTGTGCTCGATTTGCGGTGTGCGAGGATCGTGAGGTCGCCCAGATTCGCCGCTGTCCACGTGGCCTGCACTTCAACTCGGAACTGGGTGAATGCGATTTCCAGTGGAGAGCCGACTGTACGGGCCTCTTGCTGTTCGGCAAGGCGGTCGCCGACGAGGATTGTGTGTGCACCTGTTGCGCCGAGCAGTGTCCCGATGAGAAGCCGGAGGAGACTACGCCCTGTCTGCCGGTGGAGAGTACCACGAAGCCCAGCGGCCCCACCAGCAGCCCGGATATAGTTGTGACAGAGACAACGCCCGTTGAGACGACCTCTGAGGGGGAGACTACCTATAATACGGAGCCCTCTCCTGGTCCTGGTCCAACCGATAGTCCGGTGGGACCACCAGGCGGTGGTGGTGGTGACGTACCCGGCTTCTGCCCCGACAAGCGTCCGGATTGCGTTGATAAGCCGGACGGAGCTTTGCTGCAGATACCTGGCGTCTGCACGAAGTTCGTTCAATGCAATCACGGCTGCTGCACGGACCAGATCTGTCCCAGCGGCCTCTACTTCGATCCCATTAAGGGCATCTGCAATTATCCGTGGGACGTGGACTGCACGCCGGCGAGCACGGATGACAATGATGGCGAGGTGGTGGGTCCATCGGGCACCACTTGCAGTGATCAGGGCATTTGCGCCGGCCAACGGGATGGTAAGATGTTTGCTGATCCGGATACCAATGGCTACTTCGTTTGCCAGTGCCAGTGCCCCATTGCCATGCCCTGCGATGCGAATACCAAATTCAATGAGGCGGCTCAGGTCTGCGACTGGGATAATGTACCAAATACAGATGGCGGTAGTGGCGGCAGCGGTAGTGGTGGTAATGGGGGCGGAAGCGGCAGCAGCGTCGTCATTTGTCCCGATGGTCTGATCTACAATGCTACCTCCGATCAGTGCGACTACGCTCCGGGCTATGTGCCAGAGGTCGTCTGCCCGAACACCGAGACTATTTGCCAGAACCAGCCGGAGGGCGAACTCTTCCCCATTAACGGTGTTTGCAACAAGTTCTACAAATGTAATTTCAACTGTGCCATAGAGCAGATCTGTCCCAATAATTTGCTCTATGACGCCAAGACCAAGATCTGTGACTATCCCCAAAATGTTAAATGTGATTGGCCGTATTCGCCACCAACTGGCCCGGAAGCCGGTCCCTCGGGCATATCCTGTGAAAGCAGCGGCCGTTGCCTGGGACAGCGCGAAGGCACCTATTTCCCATCCCTGACCAGCTGCAGCGGCTATGTTGTCTGCCAGTGCGAATGCGAAGTGCCCATGGAGTGCTCGCCAGGCCTCTACTGGGATACCAAATTGTCCACGTGCAATTATCCCGACAAAGCTGGCTGCTCGCTTTAATGAAACGAAAAATACTAATAATAAACTAACTAATAATAATAAATGAAAAATAAATAAAATAATAAAATTCCTTTCAATTTACTCAACATATTGGAAGTAGGAGGTCGCTTCGAACTCTTGAGCTGAGCGGCGTAGACTTAGCTATGCTCGTCTCTCTCTATTTATACTTTACAGATCTACAGCCCCTGCTTGTGGCTCTTGAGCTTGAACTGAGTTGGAGCAGGTTCGATCTCATCTTTTGAAGCGCTTGATCAGTGGTAAAGCAAATCTCCAGTTGGACAGTCGCAGGGCATTGCAGTGAACTGATTGGTAATTTTCTTCAATAATTTATAATAATTAGTATTCAATTATTCTAATAATCTATAATAATTAGTATTTAATTATTATAATAATATATAATAATTAGTATTTAATTATACTTAGTTTATGTAATTGAACATTATATAAATAAATTATAATATATATATATATATATATATATATATATATATATATATATATA